GTCCGCGACGGCGTGTTGGGGGCGCCGGCTGGGCCGAGGGGCCCGGCCGCGGTGAGGGTTGGGGGCGCTGCGGGATGGAGATGCCAGGGCGGAGGAGGACGCGTTGCCCCGGGCAGGAAAGGGGGGGTTTGGGAGGAACAGCCCCGGCGGGGTAGGAGTGACCCCGGTTCCAGGGAAGGGCCCCTCTATTATCAATTGCGCCCAGAAGCACCGGGAATTTACCTCGTTTCATCTGGCTCCGTTCCTGTCTGCGGGGCTGGAGGCGGGACGAAGAGACGCGTCCGCGAGCTGCGAGGTCCCAGAGTTGGGATGCAGGAGGCTCGGGGTCGCGGGGAGAAGGGACATGCAAGGTGGCGGAGGAAGATTCGTGCTGGGAAAGAAGATAAAGTGGCGAAAGCCTGGAGAGCGTCCGCTGAGTCCTGGAGGCCCGATGTTTGCGGTCCTGCTGCGCCCCAGTGATGAGATAGCGATGATCTTGCCCTTTCCCCTCGGAGGAGCCTGGGTTTATCTTTGATGTCTGCAGTGTTAGTCTCTGTCGAGTGTTAAGGGGATAGAAACACAGGTCAGAGTCTTCCGTGACGGAAGGGGGCTTTTGAGGTCACTTGTTAACTTTTCACCTGACAACTGGATGATGCGAGGGGGTGCGTGCGTGCGCGCGCGCAGTGGCCCCAAGCGATGGTTCGTGTTTTCAGAATCTGTACCCTAGTCTCTAATTAAGCACCCTTCAAAGATCGATAAAAAGTGACTGGTTCTTAAGTGAATACATTTATTTTCAAGACTGCAAGATTCCAGTTGTCATGTAAATGTGTAATGATGGGCCTGGAGCTTAAAACCAGGCGTTAATAAGACATTTAGTTGGAGTAAATATTTTTGCCGTTGGCACTAGATTTGGATTGGAAATTGGGGTAAAACGTTTTTTTGCAATCAAAATTTCGACCGTGTGTTTCTTGTGAGTCTGTCTGGTTTTGTTTGATTGAAACCATGCAGTTTTCTGAGAGAATTGGAGATCATTGCAAAGCAGTTGGTCTAACAATAAAAAGCATTTTTAAGCCTCTCTTCCATCCCCCGAAAATCCAGCTGTTATTTTATTTTTATTTTAAATTGTATAGCCCCCTTAGATTTTTTTGTTTTCGGAAACGACTCCTTAAAGTGACCAGTTTGGTGTGTGTGAACAATTACACTGTTAACAGAAGGAAAAACATTTTTTTTCTGTTAGTTTTCTTTTGTCTTTTAGAGAACGAAATGTCATCAGTGGAATCACTCCAGGAACAGTTGTCCCAGTCAGATCCGTCTCCATCACCAAACTCATGTAGTTCCTTTGAGCTAATAGACATGGATGCTGGCAGTTTGTACGAACCAGTTTCTCCTCATTGGTTTTACTGTAAGATAATAGATTCTAAGGAGACATGGATTCCTTTCAATTCTGAGGATTCACAGCAACTGGAAGAGGCATATAGCTCTGGTAGGATGAAATGATGACCTGTAATAGGCAAGGACTTACTGTCAATCTCTCCCAAACTATAACGGTCCTTATAATGAGTGCTATTTAAAATAAATTTTAGATTTTTTTCTAGTTGTCGCCTAAAGCATTTTTATATAGAAGCTCTGAGTTACTGTTCAGCCAATTTATAACATTGAAGAATTTGGTCTGTATTTTAAAAACAGTATCTGTTGTAATTTCTGCCTACTTATCCAATAATGTTTCTTACGTTCTACCTTATGTTTCAGTTTTTGTTTATAAAGACTGTGATGGGGGCCGGTGTCACATGGCAAAAGAATGAATTCTTTGATTTTTCACTTGTTTTTCTTCTTTTATGAAACAAGGCTGATGCTGATCTATCATCGTGATGGTCATGGTCATTGATTTACCTTTTGGTCCCTTAAGCAAAAAATTCATAAAAGCTTTCTTATTTACTTCTTTTTTTTAAGGGACTGCTGTCTCTCCTCGGAAAACGAACAAAACAGTGTTTGGGAATTTTTTTCATGTTTCATTAAAGCCATGAATGATTTTGATGGTTTATAAAGTAGTGTAACCAAGAAGAAACTGATCATTCATGTGTTTCATCATTTAGAGTATAACTCAGAATTGTATTTTGGGGCTGTTTTTTTGCTATACAATGTACTTCTTTTCCTTTCCAATCCTTGACAGGAAAAGATTGTAATGGGAGAGTGGTCCCCACTGATGGCGGCAGATACGATGTTCATTTGGGGGAGAGGATGCGGTACGCTGTGTACTGGGATGAGCTAGCATCAGAAGTGAGACGATGTACCTGGTTTTACAAGGGAGACAAAGATAATAAGTATGTTCCATACTCGGAGAGCTTCAGCCAAGTATTAGAGGTATTTCTTTGACTGTTTTTTACTCATTTTCCTCATTTTTTTCTTCATTTAATAGTCTTTCCTTCCTCTTGGGACTTATTTTGTGTAACTTCCAGAAAGAGTTTGGTTCTGTTTGCATCACAGTTTCTTTCTGCAAGTTTGTTTCGGGATAAAGGAGATTTGAGATTCTGAAATACTATGGAAACTATTATGCCTCGAAGTTAAAAATTTTTTCCTAATGGTGATCGTTGTTAACATTTAAGCTATGATCACAAGGTTGGCTTTTCTTTTTCCTTTTATTTTTCTTGCTCTGAAAACATTCTGAAACTTGATTTAAATTGGAATAGGACATTAATATTATTGCAAGAAATAAATCAAAATGTGAATAATGATTATGTCTAGTCTAGGTCTGATGGAATTGGTAGTAATTTTTTTCCTCTGTCCTGTACTATATTATCATTGTTAAATTAAAATGATTTTAAAATAAATTTGATAAATTAAGAAAAAGAGCTATATATGTAACATAGTCTTCATTATGGAAGATGTGCATGCATTACTATTATTGAAAGGAATATATCAAATTGTGTACAGTGATTATCCCCAGTCTAGATGATACAAGTAGGGGTGATTAGGTTTTCTTTGTTTTATCCTAGTATCTTTTGTAATTTTAAAAGAATTAAAATTGATAAATTGGAGTAAGATGTTCTCTAATAATTTTTTTTTGTGTTTTTTGGGGAAAAGGTTGGGGGGGTGGTAAACAGATTTCTTTCTTTCTTTAATGGAGGGACTGGGGATTGAACCCATGACCTCGGGGATTGAACCCATGACCTCGAGCATGCTAAGTATGCGCTCTGCCACTGAGCTATATACCGTCCCCACCCCGGAGTAGGATATTCTTATTGTAATTGTTTAGCATTATTCCTGTGAAGAAGCTCAGTTTTAATAGAAAAGCTATTAGAGAAATCTAATGCAATGTGTTTTCTTTTAAGGAAACTTATATGCTTGCTGTAACTCTGGATGAATGGAAAAAGAAACTGGAGTCTCCCAACAGAGAAATTATTATATTACACAATCCAAAGGTAAAGCAAATTTCATCTCTTTAATGTCCAGGTTAAAGGTTAATTGCATTACTAAGGGGAACTTAATTGGTTTCTTTTTCCTGGGGATTCTACTTAGGATGACCTTTGGCAGTTTTTATGTTGCAGTCACAACTAGAAACTTAAAAGGTAGCCAGTACAGTTATTTGCTGGTCCAGTTCTTACATGAATTTTAAGGGAAAACTATGCCACCACAGATTAAGAAAATCACTGACACGTTGTGTGGGCGTGTCCTCCTTGTGTAGCTTGTTGAAAGATCCGTTAGGCTGATGTATTTTCTTTTTCTTTCTTAGCCTTATTGAGGTATAATTGACAAATAAAATAGTAAGAGATTTAAAGCATACGACATTAGCCTAATGTGTTTTCAGGATTCTCATTTCAAGCTGTAGGAGCTGCATATGAAAACTCCTGTTGAGACTTGACTATGTTTTATGTTTTGAAAGATCTGTTCCTACCCCTCCATGTGCAGAGATGTCTTTAATGCAGCTTATCTTTACTGCTCTGATCTTTTTTTATTTAAGCTTATGGTGCATTACCAGCCAGTTGCAGGGTCTGATGAGTGGGGTTCAACACCCACCGAGCAGGGTCGACCAAGAACAGTGAAGAGAGGGGTTGAGAACATCTCTGTTGACATTCATTGCGGTAATGTTAATCATTCATTTTGTTATCTTCTGATATACTTACGAGCTTGTGACTTGACTTGTGGCCGTTTATTATGGCTTTAGATTACCTCAGGGCTTTAAAATGACTTTAATCAAAAGGGCTTAGAAGATTAGCATTATTTCATCTACTAAGAATCTTAGTAGGTATAAAAATCTCTTTTAAAGTTGCTAAGTATATGGTGGGGTAAATAAAATTTGGCAGTATGATTCAGTAAAGTGCAAATGAACTGATTTAGTCCTGTTTCTAAGAAGGTTGTTTCCACTTGCTTGATTATTAATTTATTTCAGTCATTCCTGTCCTTGAAGGTTTTCAACTAGGGAAAACTGTTTCTCAGTAGGACCTTGATAGTCATCAGTTGCTAGGGTCATTTATGGTTGGTTTTATAATTTATTTCAGTGGATTATAAAATTCCTTTTATCTTACGTAGGAGATGGCTTGTGTCTTAGACAAACTGTTAGACTTACTGTAATTTAAAAAGATGAGTTTAAAATTTCAGGCTTCAAATACACACCAGACATTATTGGTACAGCTGATAAAAATGGGATGTTAGGTGAAAGTATTCTGTCAATGTTAGACTGCCTGAATTTGGTAACTGCACTATGGTTATGTAAGAGAGTATTCTTAGGAAATACACATTAAAATATTAAAAGGTTAAAGAGGTATGATGAGTACAGTCTGATGATGTATGTATGCGACCTGCTCCCTGATGGCTGAGAAAAATAAAGGTGAATATGCATACACGTAGGATAATGAGGTAAATGTGCTAGTGTTGAGTCTGTGTAAAAAGTACAGGAGAGTTTCTGCACTGTTCTTTCAAGTTTTCTGCAAGATTGCAGCTACTTCAAAATAAAAGTTAAAAAGCTGAAATATTTTTTTCACAGACTTATTTCAAGATAAATTAGAAATAAAATAAAATCACTATATTTTTACCAAGTAGCTAAATGTGGGACTATTTGTGTCCTTTAAATTATCTGCTCATATTTTAACTGGCCCATCTCTATAACCTATGCGTTGTGAATTTGATTTTAGCATACGTGACTAGTTACATAGACTAATTTTTCTTTGTAAATTCATTTGTAGGGGAACCTTTACAAATAGATCACTTGGTTTTTGTAGTCCACGGGATTGGACCAGCTTGTGATCTCCGCTTTCGAAGCATTGTACAGTGTGGTAGGTTTGCAGAGCGCCTAAGATTAAATCATTTAGGGGGACTATGAGTGCTCCTGGGAGCTGAGATAAAGTATTGCCTTTAGTCTGTTGCCGTAGCTGCATAATGAGATTTGGAGAGCTGAAGACAGGTGGCGAGGTGGTAAAGCTTCCCAGCTTAGACCTAAAGTGCTAGTAAATTCTTTAGGCTAATAGGTTTATACTCTTAACTAATAATTCTTGAGTGAACAAATCCTTATGCCTTATAAAATGATTTTATGATATGATGGTCCTGTTTCTAACCATTCCAAGTTTAAAGGGAATCATAAATGTATAACCACAATGATAGTTTAAATGAGTAACAGAAGCTTTAGTCATTTTTGTAATTGATACTGTGATAAACCTTTCGATATTCTAATTGGAATATTTAGGTCATTAGTATAACTTTATTTTGAAAGATAGTGTCTTCTAAAACATCTTAGTATTCATAGTCTAACTGCCCCAATTTGGGAGTCCGACCCTAATGGCTAATGCTTCTAAGCATAAACCTTCTAGAAGGTTAAGATTGAAGTAATAGGTATTTCAAACAGCAGTGTATTTCATTTTAGTCTAAATTACTGGGTGATGGTTGTTCATAAGAACGGGAAAAGTAGGATGGAATCTGACTGCAAGGCCACTTGATGTCACTTGATTTTTTTTTTTAATTGAAACAGTTCCCCTGACACAGTAGAACTTCTGAAGTCAGCATTTTTTGGATGAAATGTTTTGTATAATAAAAGCAAGTTCTATATTGAAAGAACATCTTTTCCTATATGCACTGTTAATTTTTCCTGAATACCACTCTATTTTTGACGCAAGTCAATAGGTGCTCTAAGCAAATGGAGATAGACGCAGTATAATTACATGATCTGTTGCATCCTAATTCTGAGAATTCATTGCTTCACTGTTGATGCATAAGATAACTTTCTTTTCCAGTTAATGATTTTCGCAGTGTTTCTTTGAACCTGCTACAGACGCATTTTAAGAAAGCCCAAGAGAATCAGCAGATTGGGAGGGTAGAATTTCTCCCAGTCAACTGGCACAGTCCTTTGCATTCCACTGGTGTGGACGTGTGAGTAACACCTTACACCACTGAATTGTTAACTGTGATTCTGATATGTTTTCTGATTGTTGATATGGTTAGGAACATTTCTGCTATAGCTGGGTGTGTATTTAAAATTTTGTTCAACTAAAAGCTTTTTGTACTTCTGTGTTTTTTTCTTTAAGGTACATTACTAAATGGTGACCAATCCCTTGCTTTAACTAGCTCAAGTTAGGAGTAAAGAGCTGTGTGTATCTTCTTCCAGTATGTTTTACTGGCTCATTAGTGTTTACTGTTACAGCTTTATTTCTTTAGCATTAAAGCCAAACATTACTTTCTCCCCATAGTGCATAAGCATTTCCATTTTCAGATGTCAAAAGCCAGCATACCTCCAGATGTGCAAAATATTTTGTTTTCCTTCTGTGATTATATTTAGATAATGTTTGTCCAAATTTGGGGGAAAAAGGAAATCCCCAAACATGAAATTAGTAGCATCTATAACTTGAGGTGTAATTGATACAGTGACTTAAGTGATGGCTTTTTTATGTTTATAAGCCCAATAGTTTCATTTCTAAACTTTATGATAACGTCAGAGAAAGCTGCCTTATGTTAAGGATATTCAGCTGGTGGGCTCTCCAGGAAGGAGTGTGTTCATAACATAGCTCTAGGATAGAACTAGGAGGTGCTTCTCTGGTAGATAAAACGAAGTAGTCAGCATTATTTCCATGCTGTCTTGGAAATGCTGTTCTGACTCTGTCTCTCAGTTCTTGCTACCCTGTGATTTGAGCATAGTCCATGTGCCAGAGGTTCCACTGTGGTGGTGCTTTTACTAGATATGGAGTTCACATTCCTTCTTGTCTGAGCTGATTCTGCATTGAGAGAGGGAGCTGATCCACTTATCACTTGACTTGTGATCAGAACACCTTAATGCTAAGAATTCTAGGAAAAGCCTCTTGTATCTTTTGTCTTTTTAAATAATTGTTTATTATGGAGGATTTTGTATACAAAAGTAGTATATGTAATGGAGCTTCATGTGCTGACTTTGATTGCCCAGCCCTAATAAGCCTCAGCACGTGGCCAGTTCTACCCCATCCAGTTCTTCACACTCCTGTATACTGCCCATCCCGCCATCATTTTATTTTTGAATAAAATCTTAGACATCATATCATTTCATACATTTCACCTGTAAATGTTTGTATATCTTAAAGGATAAAAAAATGTAACCAATAATGCCATTATCACACCTAAAAAAATTCTTAATATCAGCAAATATATAATATTCAGATTTCCAATTGTCTAATAAGTGTTATGATTTATATATACATATATGTACATATACATGCACATACACAAATGCACACACATATTTTAAACTGGGTTCCAAATAAGGTCCATGAATCACAATTAGTTGATATGTCTGTTAAGTCTCTTTTTTATTTATTGAAGTATAGTTAATTTACAATGTTGTGTTAATTTCTGGCATGCAGCATAGTGATTCAGTTAAACATATATATATATTCCTTTTCATATTCTTTTTCATTATAGGTTATTACAAGGTATTCAATAATTCCCTGTGCTAGAAGCAGGACTTTGCTGTTTATTTTATATATAATAATTAATATCTGCAAATCCCAAGCTCCCAGTTTATCCCTCCCCACCCTCTTTTCCCCCCAGTAACCTTAATTTTGTTTTCTATGTCTGTGAGTCTGTTTCTGTTTTGTAAATAAGTTCATTTCTGTCTTTTTTTTTTTTAAGATTGTATATTTAAGTGATACGGTATTTTCTTTCTCTTTCTGGCTTACTTTACTTGGTGTGACAATCTGCAGGTCCATGCATAAGTCTCTCTTAATTTCTTGATTTCCATCTTATTTTCTTGCAATTTTTGTACTGAAGAAACTGGGCTGTTTGTCTTGTAGTTTCTCACACTCTGAATTTTGCTGATCACATCCCTTTGGCTTTAAACGTGTCCTTCTGTCCTCTGTATTTTCTATAAATTGATAGGTATCTTTTGTATCTTTAAATGTCTGAGCATGGATGACTTAGAGGAGGTCACAGCTTGTACTTAGGTTTTCTGCTTTCCATAATTTTCCTTTTTTCAGAGATCTGCAGCGAATAACCTTGCCCAGCATCAACCGCCTCCGGCACTTCACCAATGACACAATCCTGGATGTCTTCTTCTACAACAGCCCCACCTACTGTCAGACTATTGTGGACACGGTTGCTTCTGAAATGAACCGAATATATAAACTTTTTCTGCAGAGGAATCCTTATTTCAAAGGAGGTGTATCCATTGCTGGTCACAGTTTAGGTAACAAATGGATTCTCTGTGACCAGAGAGGACTGTCACATTTAAGGACACCCGTTTCTGAAGTACACTGTCTTTCGTCAGTAGCAGACTCGGTGGTGTAGAACGGGTCTGTGATGAAGCATTTGGAAGGAGTTGGAAGGGTGGCGGTGGTGGGTTGGAAAGACTCCCTGCTTCATAAATTTTGCTCCCTGGGCAATTGGCTTATTACTTTTTTGTGTAAAAGACAGCTGTTTGTGCTGACGCTTTGGAGTGTCCCTTCTTCTG